TAGCAGGCAGTATAAGTATGCCCTCATTCGTAATGAGAAATAGACTTACCTTCACGTGGTGCACCCTGAGCAACGTATATTCATACGGCAAAAAAGTCTATTGACTGGCAGTTGACTTCTCACTTCAAACTACCATCACCTCACTATATGTCATATTCGACTACTTCCATAGTACTCACCTCACCTTTCATCTACCTATGTGTCTGTCTCTTTTACATCTTTAAAACACTCTACTGTTCACCCTCCCCTCTCGACTTTTTTCAATTTGATGTACCTTCCTCTCTGTGAGGCCTGAAGTGAACTAAAGGGCTAATGATAACCATCAAGACGCCTGCCATTTGATATAATAATAATACTTTATTAGTATGGTATAAGAAAAACAATTTCTTGACTAAAGTTCATAACTTATATGCAAACTATAACATCGAAGACATGAAGATGACCATTACTACTTGGAAAAAAACACACAAGTTAGAAAATAAACTTGACCCAGTGATTCCGAAATATGAAAGGTCTCTGGAAATGCACAAACCTTCTACCCAACTAAATATCCCAGTGGGAACATTGGTTACGCCTCAAATCGTGCCACGCTTGGATGAAAATAGGGCCTCCGCCAAAGAGAACTTTATGATTATTAGTCGATCGTATTAGAAAGTGAAAAATTACTGAAACTATTTTTAGTATAGTTAAACTACTGAAATAGGATTTCAGCAACTCACCTGCTCGATCATCCAACTGCGAGAGGTTTTTGTCACGTTCAAGCACCTTCTCAATATTAACTCGCATAATGTCCACCACCTCGTTGACCTGAGCTTGAGTCCGTTGTAACCGCTTATTTATCGTCTTCTCCACCTTCTTTTCAGTCGCTGGCTGCTGTGATTGCCCACCTTTGGATTTATCAACTGTTTGGTCATTGTTGCTCCTTAAAATCCATATGAATTTTTAGAAATCAGGTATTCCATTACTTATTTCCTACTTATTTGCAGCTTAAAAAATTGTTCATGCGAGGCAACTTTTCAGCTTACACTTCTGCAAGTCTGAAATTATTTTTCGAAATCTTAACTGACCAAATTAACCAAAATGAAAGTAAATTAACTCTAAAAGAATCCTCAAAGAGAAATGTGAATGAAATGAAAGATGATAATATAATCATGAAAAATTATTATTCATTTTCCCTTGACAACATAAATGCCTTATTTTTGTTTTCTTTTCCTTTCCTTTATTATTACTATTTTTATTAAAAACGAACAGCCCTTAAATTGTTTGTCTGAACTAATATGAATAGGGCTCCTCTATCGTAGAAGTTGGCAATAGAATGTTAAAAAAACTCGAATTTCAATTATTTATAAGAAAATTGCCATTGGGAATCAAAATAATAGTGAAGAAACAGGAGAAGAAATATAAATTTTTCTAAAAAAGTATAAGGAACACTACAATTCATTGCTGAATAAAAATAAACAGGAAATTCTCCTGATGCTGAAACAATGTATTTCAATGTTTAAGCGCATAACACTGAGATATTGAGTGCTTCCTTGCTCAAAGTATCCACAATACCTCGAATTCAACAAGTTCATGAATTCAAATACCATGATCCAGAAGTAGATCAGGTGTTAGATAACTTGGTTTAAAGACTGTGCGGATGTTTGCCTAGACAATCTTGCTGATATTCTCGATAGGGTAAACTGAAAGTGCTGTTAAGGGGGTTAGGATTTACTATAGATGAAAGACTCAACTCTGTGTGTTATATTCAAGAAGAATGGGGAGATCGAACTTGTTGAAACAGCTTCAATACGGTATGATTTGTTTTGCAAAGCGACTTCCAAACTGCGAAATGGCTTCAAGCACCCTTCTATTGCTAAAATGTATGCTAAATATAAATGCGATTTTAGAACTCTGTGATTTATCCGAGATTTTGAAGGATCACTTCACATGTCAATTACTGGGTCTATTTTGATTGTGGAATTTCAAGTTAGGGTATAAAATGCTGATAAATGCGGACAATCGGATATAAAGGATTAGATAAGCATGAGTTAATATGGAATTGTGTCCCAGAGTGACTATACATAATGACTAACGCTTTGTCTTATTTCGTTCGTAGAAGTCTCATATTTGCAAATTGTGCTGCAGGCCCGAGTGGATAGGGAAATGGCGTGCCGAACTAAACCGAATTCAAAAATTACGTTACCCAGAAGATTAGATCAAAGCTTAGCTAGATAACAGAACTAGTAAGCGGCTCGAAGAAGGATACGAAAAAGAAGGAAAATTCACAGAGCCTCCCCAACGAGGGTGTTACGAAAGTGCGGCGAAAGGAGGAGGAGGGGGAGGGACTTTCTACAAAAGTCAACTGAACCGAGTCTTGAACCTAAAGTAAGGGCTGTAGATGAAACAGAGAATAGAGATCTAACCGTGAGAATTCATTAGTTAACGCGGTATTTCCTCCCAGGCATACGGAGCGAAAGCCATGAACCATGGGATAGAAAAATGACCGACCCGACTACAAAGAGGGGGGGGAGGGGGGAGGAGAGCAATAGCAGAAAATTAAAAGGAAATCCAATGAAATTTTGGACGGTATCTCTCCAATAGTAATAGACAGATAGAATCTGTCCTTGAAAAAAAATGGGGGGGGGGCATGAAGGAATGAAGAGCCACCACTTTAGACTTTCTTCCCATTGTAACCATAAGGAGGAATATAACTCTTAAATTGTTTGCCTGAACTAATGTGAATAACACTTCACTGTGTAATAGTTCGAGCTGAAATGTAATAAGTTGTGAGTAGAACAGCGTAAAGTTGCTTTCCTTCTTCCTGCCTGAGCAATCGGCTATTGGCTCTTGAGACGCATTGAATAAGGCACTGGATCCAAAAATTCTGCAGAACAGAGATCAACGAGCACGAATGTTAAAACGGAGGCCACAATATCAAAGCCGATCGGCGTGGATAACCAAGGCAAAAATGGTTAATTCTGGATTAGCCAGCTTCGCTTAATGGGACTGCTATTAATACCACTGGGTGCATTTTTGTAAACTACACTTCCCACAGCCCCAATTACTCCAAGATAATCCTCATATGCTGAAGTATTCATAAAGTTGAATAAATATGACGCCCATGAACCTAGATCTTCCATACTTCATTTCAAAATCGACTATTTGATGTATTTTCAGATCAGCCTATCCTTCTCTTAGCTTTTCTCCAAATTTATTGAAGGAGTAAGCTATAAACAGGAGATAACACGGACTTCACTTCCTATCTCCCCACCGGTGAGATTACAAAACGTTTATGCAAGGCAAGTGGGCGCTTGCTGAAGGAGAGGCATAATTGAATTTGAGTCATTGATCAATGGATGAAAAGTAACTCCCAATATAGCCCACTGTATAATTGAATATGTAAGAACACTGTAATCTGTCGTGTTGGAGGACAAGTTGATGGGGTGAAAGAATGAACAAGATTTGAGAAATGCCCGAGCACAAGTTGTCAAGGCCTGACATGCACTGTAGTTTGGACAATAGGAATATCAAGGCAGTGATTAAGGGACAAATATAATGAAATGGTATCTATATAAATCATTAGTACCTTCCAATAATGCTAAGATTTTCATCTTTAACTTTTTTTAAACAAAAGCAATAATAATAATGTGACTTTTCTCCCGAATAAAAGTCCTAATATAGCCTCAAATAAACTAAATTTTTACATTTTTTTATAAATCACTACAAATTTCTCTCATCTTAACTATAGTGCGTGATTAGCAAGATTTTCAACTCACTCTGGGCCTCATGAACCCAGTCAAACTAATATCACTGTACTTTAAATTAAAATGTCCAAATAATTAGATTAAACATTCAGCCGGGAGTCTGCAGAGCTTAAAATGAAATGAATAAAATCCGGGAATTCAAATATTAAGACACTAGTCCTTACGGGTTGAATTATATACCTCCTGGAAGAAAGTCGACATTGCAATGCCTTTAAAGTTTAAACAAGCGATGTTTTGAAACCTATTTAGTCATTTGCTCCTGATCATGAATGGCAAGTTCTTTTCATTATCATGAATAATAATAATAAAGACTATTTTAGCATTTTTTGCAAAGGGTACGTTTTTAATTCCCTTATTGATGTTTTTCCCGATAGCCAATGCGCATGTCCATCTACCAGGTCTCCACCAAATTTAATGAATGAATAATCTACTCATGGAAAATAACTGGAACTTCATCTCCCAGCGCCGCATTACAGGGGAGATGATACGGTTCTCATAAACAAGCACATGTGTCAATTAATAATGTCCTCCATTCCTCCTCCTCCTCCTCCACTTTCCTTCTCATCAACAGTGAGTGGGACGCTGAATGGCATTTAAGTAGCATTTACAAATCAATTGTTAATTTGAACTCGTAAAATGCCGTAGACAAATGAGAAGTGAGAGGAGAAAAGGCAATCACTCTCATTTGAGAAAGAGGAAGGAGCAAAACTTGATGACTCGAAAATGAAGTTGAATTAATTCACTCATCTAATTGGTGAAAAGAGGAAATAACCCCACTTGTAAGTAGGAAAATGACATGAACAGTGATGATAGAAGTAACCGGATTTCCAACTTGATGTATAGGACGGGAAGAAGAGATAAGATTAACCTTCAAAATTTTTGAAAAAAAAACTCCCAACTCAATAATAAGGCATAAAGAGTGGAGCAAAAGGTGGCTATTTGTATAGGTAGGCGCTATCCGATTGTAGGTTATAAAATATTCAGAAGTAACGCGCACGCCAACAACAGATCTCACACACAGCGCATTAAATATGAATATCTTCGAGAGTAAGCCTTAAAAATTATCCCCTTCTAGTACGTTTACTGCACTTTAAAGGAGGATGAGAATCCAAAATTTTCCATTAATTTCATCCTCTCTAAGGTCATAGGCTAGCCTAAGGCAAACATATGAGTCGCCAGAAAAAAAACAGCATTAAATTAAGCTTGTAAGCTAGTAGCTCTTTAATTAGGCTCGCTCATACTTAAACCGCTAACCAAATTTCAGAGTATTGGAACGAAATCAATACGTCAAGGTAATCAATAAATACTGCCCACCCACCCGTAAAATCGATAAATTCCGCAAAGATAAAAAACTGAATAGCTCTGGGAAATCAGAACCTTGGCGAGTCCAATCGAATCAAAGCGGAAGGTTCATATATTTTAGTAGTAGCAAAAGCAGGTAGTTCACTTTGACATTGAAAGTGAATTGAATTGAAAGTGGTCAAGATTGTGCAAAGCACCGAAAAATACGAAAAATTTGAACGACTCTTGCCAGAAACTATCAATAAGACCTACATTAAGTGATCAATAATGATCAAATTATTAAAATAGTAAGGTATTCTAATGGTGCCTTATTTTTGAGCTGAAAAAATGAAGATAAATGATTGTACTAATATATTGATTAGTCTAATAAAAGAATGGTACGATCGACAAATCATCTATACATGAAAGAATTTCTGCTCCTAAGACAAATGAAGTAATTTTACGCTTTCTACACTATTAGCATATACCTACGACAAATCTAAAGGAATAAACTAAAAGTTAAGGAACAAGTATGCAATTTAAAGGCAAATTATTGAATGCGAGCAAAGATCATTACAATTTAATGATGATAGCTATAAAAATATTGCTAAATGCCAATCAAAAAAGGAATGGGGTGAAATACTATGAAATCTTGAAAGATTTGTAGGAAATACTGAAAATAATTCATGGTTTGATATAATTAAATCTGTTTTAGTGGTGATAACATCTTGTTTAAAGTTACATGAAATATAATAAGGACAAGGATTGTATTGTGATAAATTATTTATAATGAGGAACGGAATAATAAAGCATCAATTAACATTAAAAAATTGATTTTTCGTGTCAGACGAGAGAAAAATATTTTTGATAAAGCACGGTCAATTATCACATAAAATGCTCAAATAGGTAAAATGAAGGCATAACTTAATATGTATTAAAATTTCATGATTTGTCTTATCAATTTTAAAGTAATGGATTAAAAATAACTTCATTGATAAAATTTAAACTGATTTTATAGCAGGTAAAGTTGCATACAATTTATTTAGAAAAAATATTAAGATTAATAAATAACTATTAGTTAAGTCTAATCATTATTAAACAATGAATTTCTTACATTTCTTTGCTAACTGAATTGGAATACCAGGTAATCAAGTCTGGTAGCCTTTTACACGACCTTGAATTCTTATAGTATAAGACGACGCCATTATAGCATTAAAAGAAATATCAGAATCTAATTTTTATTGAAGTCTAAATTGTAACTCTATTTATAAACATTTTGTGTGATTATTTTTAAAAGTATATATTGTGCCCTAACGCACAGATAACTTTTTAAATAGCTATCAATCAAACTAAAACTGTAACGGTTTGTAGTGTAGTTGTTATATTCCAAATTGAAAATCACGACTTTTTCCCTAATAATAAATTGTTCTGGTTTTAAAAATATACACTGGCGAATTTAGAGTGGAGCTTTCACACTTCATTTTAACAAAATCAGGCTAGAATATATTACCAGATGTACTTGTTGTATTTCGCTAATTAATTTTTTTCAGGTGTTTTACTTTTCGGCAAAATGGATCAATTTTGCACTTGCTAAGTTAACCTGAAAAAATTAAGCTAGAACCGCCTAGTTTTTACTCAATTGGTAATTCATAATGTCATGATCTAGTACTTTATTTAAAAAAATTAGCAATACCATTTTTACCTAATGTTGCATTTCAAGATATCAGATAGTGCCGATGCTTTTATATCATCTTGACAAATAATTTTATTTTATTTCGTGTGAGTTTGCCTTTGGCTTTAAATTTTTAATGATGCACCGAAAATGAGATTAATTTGAAGTAATTATTACTTAATCAAGTTTTCATGTCGTATGTGTATTCAGTGATCTAGACTAAATTGTTCGAGATGTCCAGTTATTTGGACATCGCAAAGAATTTCCCAGAGTAAGCGCTTTTAAATGCTCCAAATTATACAGAAATAGGCAATCAAAGCACTTCTTAATTGTATAGCTTACATTTCACATCAGACCAATATAGTCTATTCATAACTGGATTGGATTTTCAATTTGAAATCTTTCTCTTCGACGGGTTTTTAAGTCTGCTGGCATACAAAACGCCATAGTCCCACAACTGTTGCCTCCAGATATCGAGGAAGAGCTCGTTTATTTACATTTTTATTACGATTTTATTCTTTTCCGCATATGCAAACGGATTATTATTCGGTTTGTTTTTATCTAACAAATCATTAGCATATTTAATAAAATTATGATCCAATGTACCTTTCACCATAATCTTGTCCAAATCTGAAGTGTGATCACTCAAAATCAGTTTTAAGCATTAAAATGTATTTTTCAAGCATCATTTGTACCCTTGCTCTTAAAATTTTATCTACATCTCGTTATTTGTTAGAGTAGACGTATTAAAGACCTAGAATAACCATTCTCTGATGTTAGTAATCATTAATTACTAAACTGTTATTGTTTAGTTCTTCAAGATTATTCATGAATTAATCGCAGCCTTAGAGATGTCTGAAGCTAAATTTAGAGGGCGTTATTTCCTTTTAATTTAGCTTGCATTGATTTGTATATTTAAATATTCTGACCCTTTGATCATCTATAAATAATTTTTTCTTGTCATGATTTCATTTTTTTAATTATATTTTACACTGGCACTATAGCTTTTTCACCGTTCATCTACCATCCATATCTCTTTCTGAACTGTCACCACATTCTTGATCCATAAGAAATGATATGACGCGAACTAGATTCCTCTATTAAAGTTCCCATAGGGAAATTCCAACTTTAAATCATATCATTCGAAATAAACTAGGCATTATTTTTTGTCATTTATTTATTCACAATTTAATGAAATATATGGCAAGGTACCTGGTAGCGCAAGTTTACACAAAGGGGTTAGTAGAGTGAATAAAATAATACCATCAAAAAATGGGGATACGAAACTCTTGTTCTATCTTTCATTTTCCTAAAATAATAAATTAAAATAAACATTTATTAGTTAAGAGCTAGTTTTTAAGGAATAAAACAAAATTTTATGCAACCACAAACGATTATTTTCACGTGGGAGCGGTCAACGCCCAAGACCGGTATCTGTGCATCTGCCTCTTTAAAAATTAATAGAGTCGCTAACTATATCTTCACTGAAGGGTTTAACTTAAGCTAGTGACACCGATTTCTAATAAACTAGATTAGGCTTCATTTTGCGTAAGTTTCTTAAATGAGTTCGAGATCATAAACTATAAACTATTTTTTGAGTCCTACAGGTGGGATATTGGACGTTTCTGGTGTAGGAATCATATGATATGTGTAAAAATGAAATCCACCACATTATTAGATCCTTAAATTCAATTAAGATGATATAGAATATTTACCTGTAACGCGTATGCGGTTGAATTTAAGGATGGTTACATCGATGGAAATACTCTAGTTCACCATGCTGAGCGCATTGTCTAAATGGAGGCTTATATTTTAAACAGCTTACTTTTAATATTTGTGACAGGAAAAATTGAGAACTAATGGAGAAAAGTTGGGAAAATTGTGAGATTTCGATAAAAGCATAAAATAAATACTTTCATAAGATATATGGGAAATTTTTTTCATTAAGCAACTTCCATGCATTACTATTTTGTAATCCATTAAGAATACTTAGGACTTACAGGTCTAATTAAAAATCGGATTAAAAAACGGGATTTTTCTCCTTAACCTATCTTCACTCCTCCTCACTAGGCAAAGCCACACTGATGTTAGTGCTTCGAATCAACTGAGCGTAAGGAGATGTATATATGTTGTTTGCTCTTTGAGCTTAACTGGACCAAACAGTTTCTGCACCAAGTTCCTCTTGTTTCTGATGAATCAAAAAAATATATTTTTCGCTTCATGTTTATTGCAAAAATAGTTAGGAGCCTGCATTCTGCTCTAAAATAACCTGAATGATTGAGATGCTGCAAGGTCATTTTCATAAATAATGGCATCTCATTTGTCATTAATGCCTACTAAGAGCATTTTTTGCTTTAAGACGAAATTGCGATTATTTCATACCAGCATTTGCTTATAGTTTCTCGACTTACTAAATAGAATCTGTTGATCAGTGGCGTTGAGTTGAGATCGCCATTGAGTACTGGATCTTGGTACTCCTGGACGAATAGGGCGGATACTAAATGAAATTTTAAACGTATTATGGTGGCAATTTGGAGGCGACAGAGAGGAAAACTGACCAACGCTTAACAAAGAGTTTACCTTAGCTGCCAAGGCCTCAGGTCTTGGAATGCTAAGTTCACTTTGTGGCAGCGTGGAAGAATGCTGCACCAGAGTTGCCTGACTTCCATCACTTCTATGGTATAGTGTCAGCTTTGTTGAATGACGGATGCTTTTAGTGTGTCCAGAAGTAGAGTTATAAATGGATGGCAACCGGGTGACCTCAGTTCCCCCCAACCGTCTGCGCTGTCGAGGGGCCAATGTTAGAGGCGCTGTTCTGGACAATAGAATTGGTGGCAGCTCCGAATTCGTTTGTGATCTTTTCTTTTCACCCACAGCTGTATTTACAAGTCCGTAGTTGGTAGGAGATATCCGCGAAGAGTTGAGACGCGAGTTAGACGGTCGATCAATATAAGGACAGAGAGGCCAGGTGATCGAAAAATTGGCATTTCGACTATCATTTTTGAGGACGATAGAAGAAGATGAGGTGGATGATGGATTGTTTTGAAAGTGAAATGATTTTCCAGAAAGTGCGAGACTTTCTCGGGGTTCAGGACTTCTAAAAGTTAATAACACATTTTTTATTCCATATATATGCTAGTCATCAAAATAACACAGCAGTGTTGAATAGCTTCAGAAGAAATATTAAAAAGGCGTTTTTGTCCCAGCAAAGAATATGTATGGATTACAGACCTTACAAGATCTAGCCTATTTATGATACACCTAAAATATCATCAAATTTTTGTTTAGCCCATATCACCTTACCTCTTTTTCGCTTTTCAAAGTATTGTAACTATTTACAAGGTCCCAGAAAGGCAAAACACAGAGAGAAAACGTCATGCATAACATTATACCGGGTCAAGTGCATCTATTCATACAGACCAACGAAATATGCTTGACATGTGAGAAGTCAGTCGGATAAACGCGGCTTTATGTTAACTTGGATGGGTGTGCGATGGACTTACTTCCACGTGGTGCACACAGGCAACGTATACTCATACGGCAAAAAAAAGTCTAGTAATCGGCAGTTGAATTCTGACTACAAACTACCATTACCCCGCTGTATGTCATATTCCACCACTTTCACAATACTCACTTTACCTTTTTCTCTACCTTTGTGTCTGTCTGTCTCTTATGCATCTGCGAATAGCTATTCTGTTCCCCACTCCTCGACTTTCTGCTACTTTGATGAACCTTCCCTCTGTGAAGCCCGAAGTCAGCTAAATGGCAAATGATAGCTATCAAAACGCCTGCCATTTGAAATAAATAAATGTTAACTTGGATTTGAGTAATATTATTAAATAATCTCATTTAAAAGATTGAAATTAATGCCGGAAATACTTAATTTCAATGTTTAATGTTTGAATTTCAAAGTTTATATAACTTCAAATTTAGTCAACATTTAAAGCTGAAATTTAACCTTCCAATCTCACCTATTACTACATATCAAGGGCGAAATTATTTTAGCAGAGATGTGTTGGACGGGAGTCATTGACAGTCTTGTGTCCTTTTCCTCGTTTCCTCCTTCTCTTTCACTCAAAGTTGACGGGTTCTTTGACAGATTGTCAAGAGCAGTTTGAGAGTCATCTTGTGTAGGTTCTTTAAGAAAAGTTACACCTTCATAAGTTATCAACAGGGAAAATGCATTAATAGTAAGGAATGTACTTGTATTGGACGTCGATTTTTCCAAGGCCATTGAAGCTTCCCTGAGGAGCATCTCAACCAAAGCGCCAGAAAGCAACTCTTTATTGGTTGGAGGTTTTGTGACCCCGGTACCCATGCCTTCATCGCGATGCAGTGATTTAACTCGGACGTTTGGGCTTGTCCATTGAGAGGTTGATCGAGGGGGACTCTTTCTTAAATATTAAAGGATGGTACTGTCATTGAGCTTGGAAGTGGATGAACTTTCTCTCTCTCTCTCTCTCAGAGACTAAAGTTTTAGCATTTGTCCTCTTTATGAAACAACCTATCGACACTAGTTCTTTAAAGCGGGGTGTGCGATAGACTTACCTCCAAGTGGTGCACCCTGGGCAACATATATTCACACGGCAAAAAAGTCTATTAATGGACAGTTGACTTCTGACTTCAAACTGCCATGATCCCACTGTATGCCATATTCGACTACTTTCACAGTACTCACCTTACCTTTTTTCTACCGTTTCTACCGTCGTCTTTGAAGCATTCTTCTGTTCCCCCCCCCCCCAGACTTCTTTCCACTTTGATGTTCCTTCCCCTCTGTGAAGCCTGAAGTCAAATAAAGGGCTAATGATAACTATCAAAACACCTGCCATTTGATATAAATAAGTAAATAAAGTTCTTTAAAGCTTACACATTTAGTCACCATTAACTGAAGTTGAATTCGATAATGGCCTTTTGAGTGAATGATTCAGTGACTGCTGTGGTTCAAAATATTCACAACTTAATCACTCGCCATTCTTTCACTTTTTGAATGCAATTTTTCTTATTTTTTAAATATTTTTCCCCAGTAAAAAAAGGGAATTTCCGGTTAAATTTCCTTCCCTGTTAATGGCCTGAATGAAATACTTAAATCAATAAAAAGGACGTCAAGTCTCCTCAATATAAGCTTGAGAACACAACAGTATTTGGCATTTCGATGCCCTTCAGCGAAAGGGGGTTGATATGAAGGTCAACTAGCTTTGTCCCTTAAGATCTCATGCATCAAATGTCTCTCTGATGGGGCCGCTATCAACACTATGCCTCATAGTAGCTTCGAATTCTCTACAAAACATCCGGAGTGCTTTCTGCTTACACGATTAATTGGAAAGCAATTAGCTCAAATAAATCCCTGACTTTATCTTAGCAGGCATGGGGTGTGCGGTAGACTTACCTCCACGTGGTGCACTCCGGGCAACGTATATTCATACAACAAAAAAGTCTATTAACTGGCAGTTGACTTCTCACTTCAAACTACCCTCACCCCATTGTATGTCATATTCGAATATTTTCGCAGTACTCACCTCACCTTTGTTCTACCTTTGTGTTTGTCTCTTACATCTTTGAAACACTCTTCTGTTCCCCCCCCCCCATATCGAATTTTTCAATTTGACGTTTCTTCCCCTCTGTGAAGCCTGAAGTCAACTAAAGGGCTAATGATAATCATCAAACGCCTTCCATTTGATATAAATAAATAAATCTTAACAGGGATCGAGTATATTTTACTATATATAGGTAGGCGTATACAAATGTTAATAGAACGTCTTTAAAGTAACCGCGTCTCTATCTTGTCTTCCCAATCTCTCGTCTAAGTCAACTGTCGTCTGTCGTTATCCAGAGGACGGATATATCAGAGAGACAGAATTGAAGATGCACACTTTACAAAGGTGCACAACAACGAGATTACAAGGAAATTTAAATAGCATCGCCGTTTTCATCTATTTATCAATTATGAATTAGAATAATGATCTAAATGGTGAATTCAATTATAATGAATTACTTGATACTATAAGATTTATGAGTGGGGTGTGCGATAGACTTACCTCCATGTGGTGCACCCTGGGCAACGTATACTCATACGGCAAAAAAGTCTATTAACCGGCAGTTGACTTCTGACTTCAAGCCATCATCATGTATGTCATATTCGACTTCTTCCACAGTACTAACCCCTCACCTTTTTTCTACCTTTTCTACTTTCGTCTTTGAAACATTCTTCTGTTACCCCCTCCCCACTTGACTTTTTCACTTTGATGTTCCTTCCCCTCTGTGACGCCTGAAGTCAACTAAAGGGCTAATGATAACCATCAAAACGCCTAACACTTGATATAAATAAATAAATATTTTATGGGTTTCAGTATGAGAATTAAGAAAATATTATGCCTACTCGAAGCATATTAATAACTCTTCATTTTTACTGTTAAAAGCGACCTTGAGGTTTGGTGGAGCATTTGAGTCCATTTTGAACTAATCGAAGCTACTCAAACTAGCATATGTGACAGTAACCCCCCCCCACCGCCTCCTCCCCACAACCACGATACCAGAAGTCTCTACTTGCGGCTTGCTTTACATTCTGCGGCTATTTGAACTACAATGGGGATTTAAGCATGAGCCTATTTGTGCAGCATTCACAGCAATGGTAGCTTTTGAAGTAACGACCAATCCAATGCTATTTCCTGTAATGCATTCTGGAGCATTCTGAATAAACTATATTTACATATATATATATATATATATATATATATATAACTGCGACACTGGGTTTGACAAGCAAATTTTATAATCTTGAGACAATATCGCATTAGTTTAAACTATCATCAAATATTTACATTGACTTAGTTTAATTAAATCAATTAAATATCGAGAAAAATGCATAGTGTTTATGGACTTCCTAATGATTCCTACAAAATGAATAACCTGCCAACCCCCCCCCCCATCCCCTTTTGCAAAATATTGCTTAAATGCAGAAAAAAATTTAATTGTTATTTTACTTTACTATATGATTTGTAAATCCGATAGAAATGGGCTTACAGCTTGCTTATTGGCCACTTTGTTCTTTCTACTCTAATATCTTCATGAAGAGTGGGAAGTTTGCTTCGAGTACTATTGGCTAGAAGACTGGGTGTCCCGGTACTCGTTGAGCCAATCCGAGTTTTCGGGGTGCGCCTGTTCATGCGGGCCTGATTTAGCCAACTTGTGTTTGGTGTGGGTATTTTTTGACCTTGAACCATCAAGGCAGAACTGAAGAGAGAAAATGCCCCATTTAGGTACCTGCCAATACCTTTAGGAAAGTGGAAAAATTAGAAAATCATCGATTTCTATCCTTTTGGTCTTCCTGCTCTTCAAACGCTAGATTGTGTTAAAGGAATTAAAAAGTACAAAAATGCGGTAAATAAAGGAACAAACAATTTCATCATTAGTAAAACGGAAGTGAAAAGAAGTGGTAAGAAAACAATAGAATGAGAACTGCCTCAATGCTATAAATAGCTCAACTGTTTGCATTTTAAACTCGGATCCTCAATTTCTACCCAAAAAGGGGAGATTCATTTGCTCTTTTCATAACGATATTATTGAGTTATAGAAAAGCTAGGCAAAATTAAGAACGATTTGGCTTTCAAAAGAAGAGCGATGTAAGAAATTGCTCAAATTAATTTTCATTGGATATTTCATTGCTGGAGATGGAGTTGTATCACACGTTCGATTTCGCCAGAGATGAATGACTTCTGACATGCTATTTAGTGAGGAGAAGGGTAGCAGTTTCTCATTTGCATCAACTACTCAGACTCAGGAAGGGGGAAGGAGAAGGGGGGGAGATTTGTAGTTCGAACATCGGTTCAGTCCATTTAACAAAGTAACTTTACTTATACAGGTTTAAATATGTGCTAATTGGTTGGCTGACTGTTTGGCCAATCATTGCATCGATGGACTCGCTTCGAGTGGATATTGAATATCGAGCTGAGAAATCGAGAGACAAGTCGAATCGGTAATCCAATGAGTAAGAGATGCAATTGTGAGTAACTCTCGGGTCCAACGAAAGCATTCAGCTACGCTTCCTAACAACTATAATGAATCAGCTGATTTCTTACACAATGATGAAATTAATTAGATTTCATCGAAAGGCGCCTGGTATTAATGAAATACAAATGAAGAGAGGTTGTATGAATAAAAGATCAATTAAATTAGCTTTTCCATGAATTTCGAATACTGATGGCTCGAATTCACAAAGCCAACACAGAATTCAATTCAAGAAAAGGCCTAACAAATTCCGCCTATTCACGTATGTTTCTTTATTTCCAAAATTTGTCTCATTTACTTTACATTCCAAGCAGAAATCTCAACAGATCAACATTGTCTCCGACAATCACTTGGATATTCAATATTGCCAAGTTGCCAATAAACCAAGTTGTTTTAACTGTTTTTAAACAAAATGTAATGCCCAGATATGTCTAAAATCAATTAGATATGATCGTTTTTTTTGACTTCAAAAAAATACGGGAAGCAAACGTGGGGCGAAATTCAGAGCAATGAAAAGGTGTCTTTCTGAAATGATAGGATATTTTCCCTTAAAATTCCTTCTAATGGTGTAATGTACTTAAATTTATGTTTCATCTCTGGGTGTGAGATAGACTTACCACACTGGGCAACGCATACTCATTCGGCAATAAAGTCTATAAACCGGCAGTTGACTTCTCACTTCAAGATACCATGACCCGGGTGTATGCCATATTAGACCACTTCCATAGTACTCACTTTGCCATTTTCTCTACCTTTGTGTCTCTCTCTCTTTTACATCTCTGAATCATTCTTTCGTTCCCCACCTCGTCCTTTCGTCACTTTGATGCTCCTTCCCTCTGTGAAGCCCAAAGTCAGCTAAAGGGCTA